TGCCAAGGAGGTACAGGCGGGACAGGCGAGAGCCTGCCCGCAGCTGCAACGGGCATCCACTGCAGGCCACAAGAGAGGAGGACACAACAAGCAGGAAATCACATTCTCCGGTTTTCCAAAATTAGTATTCTCCTACACAGAAAAAACCCAATTTGAAATATTTTCCCCACAGACATGTTTTTGCTAAATTATTCTGGCAAAAACAGATTTTACAGACCAAAAAATAAAAAGAAAACATCTTTGAAGAATTTATATCCTGGAAAGTTTAGGAATGTGGGAAGCACAGAGCCATGCAGTCTAGCAAACTGCAGAGGAACGCCAAGCAAACCACATCGTGGCCAGCATGTCCATCGGGGAAGCTGCTGGCGCAGCTTTCAGAGCCAGCCCGCAGGGCCTGCTGCCCACCCCAAGCCCGGCCAGGAGCCGAGCGGCCGAAGCCGTACCTTGGTCCTCCTGTGAGGCATCGTTGTAGTTGACCTGCTTGCGGATCCTCTTCCCTTTCCCCAAGTTCCTGGCCAGATCTTCCTGCTGCTGCTCATAGTGGTGCCGCAGCAGCTTCTCCCAGTAGTCGGGGTCCACATTCTCCTCTTGCTTGATGATCTCACGTTCCACCTCCTCCTGCAGCGGAAGAGACAAGAGGCTTGAGATCGGGCAGCCGCAGACCTGCCCGCACCACCCCACTGCCTATCCTCTGATGGCACTCCAGGGAAAAAGGGAGGGAGGGAGAGAGAGCCCCGAGCCACTGGCTGGAATTTGGCTCCTGAGTCTTTGCCCAAATGTACTGACCTGGGTGCAAGGCTGTCAAAGGGCTGAGACAACCTCACACCCAGAAAGAGCTCCTCCAAACACTGCTATCCATCCTGCCCTGCAGTGCCCACGCTCACATCGAGGGAAAAACTACAGATCTGCAGAGACCTCCCAGAACGGCAGCCTACTATTGGCTTCATCGACAGATGGAGGACGGAAGTCAGTCAGCTACTGGGAAAACGAGTAACAGAGGCGCGGTACATAAGCAGCACCATGCCTGTTCCCAGTCCACAGGGGAAGTGCCTTCAGAAAGACAAAAGGAGGTGCCTACGGATGCTTTGATCGAAATGAGGTCCTGTGCCAACAGGGACAGAACCCTGCTTGCACCGTGAGCTGCACAGGAGAAAGGCAACTGCGCTTCCTCTGCCTGCAGCCAGTCCCATCAGCCCCGGGACCCCCGGGTCTGGAACAATCTACAGCAGTCAGAGATAGAGAGCAGGGAGGAGTCCTGCCCCACACCGAAACACTCGCAAGAACAGGAAAGGGAGGGGAAGAAACACAAACAGAGGGACGTACAAAGTGGTGCGATTGTAAGACATGATACTAATCACATTACCACACCATCCTCTTCTCTCACAACATACTGGGCCACTTTAAAGGAGCTGAGATACTCGTTCATGTTCTGCAGCTCCGTGTCATCAGTCGCATCCTGGTTTCGGTCCAGAAGCTTAGAGATGGCAGCGTCGTCGTAGTGGATCACGCTGCTGTCATCCACGTCCTTATTGTCACCTGGAGGGCAAAGCAAGGGGAATGAAAGCACAAATCACCATGCTGGAGACAGCCCACTCCCAGAGCCCAGGGAGGGGGACAGGTCACCCCAACAAGGGGGGCTACACACCTGGTGGGGTGCCACCGTGCTTCTTTTTCATGCCGGGAGTCACTGCACCGCCTTTGGTTGACAGCGTGTCGGAGAAAGGGGTGACAGCATCCGGCATGGCGATCCGCTGTCCCTGAGACACCATGCCTGCGGGCGTAAGAAGAGGAGGATGAGCCCCAGCAGCTCAGACAGGCCCCCGACTGGCGCGGAGCATCCCCAGCACCTTCCTGACCTCACCTTCCACATCATCCTTGAAGAGCTCTTCTGTCCCAAACTTAAGGATGTCATCCAGCTCCTGCTTGGTCATGGAGCCCGACTTGGAGCCGAGCCCCGGGCGGACGACCAGGTGGGTGAGCATCATCTTCCTTTTGGCCACCTGGGTGATGCGCTCTTCCACAGAAGCTCTGGTCACGAAGCGGTAGATCATCACCTTCTTGTTCTGCCCAATGCGGTGAGCTCTGCTGAACGCCTGCAGGCAGAGAACGAAGCTGTCAAGGGTGGCACCGTGCCGCACCGGCCAAGGGGTCCAAGTTTCTCACTCCTCCGGGGTGCACAAAGGCACCACGAGCGCAAGGCTGAATTCAGTGTTCAGGCTGCTGCGGGGCGGTGGAGTGAGGGGGGCTCCTCAGAGCCAACCTGAATGTGCTGGCCCCCTCTGCTGACTGCGGACAAGCCAGCTTCCCCAAGCAGGCCCCTAACTGAAGGGTCTGAAGGCAGGCAGCGAGGACTCATTCCCCCTAGGAACCCTCCAGCTGCAGATTCACCAGGCCCACGCTGCTCCTTCATCACCCTGCACCAGCACCTCCTCTTGCCTGGGACCCAGGGAAAGGAAATGCTAGCGCAAACGGAGGGCGACAGTGGACGTAGCTTTGGAGAGGACCTTCTCCCGGCCGGGGAGCGTGGGAGGAATACGCATTTCCCTTCACTTTTCCATTACTTTCAGAGGCATTGGCTGCTCGCCTGCTCCAGCTGCCATTTCCCATTGGCGGTCAGTCCTTAGCTAGGGACTTTTGGAAACGCAAGGGGAAGCCCCCCAAAAAAGGAGGGGACACCCGGTTGCAAACAAGCAGCAGGAGAAAGCAAGTAGCCCGCAGAAGAGAGACAGTTTTACGTGCCAGGTCTCTCCCATGCCACAGACAGGCCAGGGCAAGGCTGGTGGATGCAGGACGGGGGCTCCTGAACAGAAACACACCCCATAAATCCCGCAGAAAGGGTCGGCAGCTCTCAAGAGAAGAGACCGACCTCCCTGTGCAGGGTGTGCAAACAGAGGGCAGAGCCACAGAGGTACTTACTATATGGGAAGGAAAAGGAAAAGTCAGAAACCTGGATGTCATTGTGGGGATTCCAGTCAGAATCATAAATAATGACTGTGTCGGCTGTAGCAAGGTTTATGCCCAGACCACCGGCGCGGGTAGAGAGGAGAAAGCAGAACTGCTGAGCGCCAGGAGCTGAGAAAGACAAACCCACAGGTGGCAAACAGTGAGACAGAAAGGAGCACGGCTTACGCGGAAAGGTGCAGTACTGTGCTCTAGGTATAAAACAGCGGGAACCATCGGTCTGAGCCAACAAGCAATGAGCAGGGAAGGCAAGGAGTGAAAACACATGGTTCCCTGGGAACCAGTTACTGGAGAAAATGCAGCTCCAGAGCCAAAGGGGAAGCTCTGCCACCTCCTAAGGCCTTGAAGGGAAACGCCAGAGTCCCTCAAACTAAGCAGCCTGTCATCGGCACGTTCAGGGCTCGCTGCGGGACACAACTCAAGGGCTTAACGACGCGGTAGGAGCAGCCCGCGCCGTGCCTCGGGAAGCTGGATCTGCCAGCACGGCACAACCAACGCGCAGGCAACCGC